TGACTAATTGCAGTTGATTTATTTTGATCGTATAATTCACCAGAACTTGAAAAAAATTTTTCTCTTCTTTACCTTCCATTGACAAGTTTTACCGTATCTTTCATTTTGCCTTGTTTCATCTACAGTATAAATATCTAGACACAACGACCTTAACATATAGCTTTCTGAAAATATAATAATAATTATATTAGTTTATTACGTAATAACTTTTATATTATACTCACCTTAATTTTGCAATTATTTGCCATAGTTTTTTTTTCGATTTAATTTTTGATTTGTGTATTTATCTAAAAAAAAAAAATCAACAACGACGTAATTCTGTCATCATTAGATCGGTGTTAATTTATTTGTATTTCTCTTAAGTTAACTTTATATTTTTCATTCTTAGAGAATACTTTATTATCTACAAAACTATTAATAATAGCTTCCCACTGATAACGAAACGTGGTTTGGCATAGAAACACTCATTCCTTCATTTCTTATAGTATTTGTTATGAAAACATTTATTTATTTATTTATTTTTTTTTTTTATTCAAGTATCAAGTTAAATTTATATCTACTTTTTCTATATAAATACAATAGTTTTTTTTTTTTTTTCTATAAATACATATAGTTGAAAAATATCTATAAATACACGATGAAAAATATAATTTTTCCTGAATATATATATGCACACATAGCTTTATACACTTTTGGTAGCACATCTCAACAGCTGTCTTTTGTTAATTGGTTTATAAGTTATCAAACGAGGAAATTGCATTTTCTAAAATAATAATGATTATATCAATAAGTGCATAAAGCATTTAAGAGAGAAGTCGAGCTTTCGCAATAATCGCAATATCCATTCAATACTCGCGATCCTTAAACCTTATTGAAGATCGAGCTGCTCTAAAATTACAACGGTTGGAACGAGTGGCTGAATGACGGAAGGCGGCAACGCGTGTCGGCAGAATTACGGTGCAGCGGCGTCGCGACGGCTGAATCAGCAGTGCCGATTCTCGAGTGGGGGCCGCTAATGCGAATGCCAACAGTTGGAACGCAGCTTAAGTGTTTGATGGCTTGAAAGTATTTGACGATTTTCGCCGATTTTCTTTACTATTAGGTATATTAGCGATTAAGCATTGGATCAATTTGTAGTCCGTACATTGGGCTCGAAGTACGAAATTCAATATCAAAGATAAATATGCACAACGTTTTTCTCTTTGGTTATCACAATCGTTGACGTGTCGATTGTTATTCATATGATAACAACCTGCACTTCTAGCAATGGCTTATAATAAATTTGCTTCTTACTTCGATCTGTCGATCTTATGATAATGGCTACTTCATGTTATATCGTGTATCGGATAAAGTTTTTAGTAAAGATTTCGATAATCCTTCCTCTTACTCACCTTATCGTAGCATAAATTGCTTAGTATTAACACGTATTTAGTCATAAGAAAGAGCGGATGAGAGAAAATGTGCATTGAAATAAGTGCATTCGAAATCATTTTGCATCATATCTGTATTATTTCCCAATAACGAAATGTAGATAAAAACATATATTTTTATACGATAATATTATCGAACTTAAAATTACTCGTCGTGTACTCGTACATGTTCTTACTGCAAGCACTACTTAGTAATTTCTAACCTCGTTGCCACTATAGTATACATGTAATCATAGATTTTAACAAAATCACTTCTAACAATCAAGAAAATTGATGCTTGAAAATTCGTTCAACATGGGTTTCATTTTCACATTCGCTCGTATTAATTCGCCGATATTTTATGGCTGCTTCTGTGACATTTTGATTAAACTTTTTTGCTAGACGTTTTCGGTTCTAGGACATTTAACATGACGGTAATTACTGTAATTCTTTTATTGTGAAATTACTGTGAAAATTTCAACTACAGGCTTAATTACTTTTTAATTAATAAATTAATATTAGTGTTGTATTTTCCGTAGGGAGAGTCTTATTTATTTATTTATTAATACTTTAGAATTAAAGGGAATGTTTGCAATTAAATTTATCGTTTTAACTAGGAAAAATTCATGAATTATATTTTCAAAACATCAAAACAATTTCTCTTGTATTTTTGTATTTTGTAAAATCATCAAAGTATGTACGAAATTTTCACAATTTATAATTTTTTAATTCATTTGAATTTTAATGAAAGTTATAAATAAATAAATCTTTCGTCATTATATTATACAAAATTACTTTTTTCTTTATTCTTAAAATTATGTTTGCAAAATTTTGTGCTCTTTTATATTGGGTATACATATATATTTTTTAAATTTTAAGAAATTGTGATATCTATGAATAATTTATTATTTGAAAATAATTTTATGAATTGTTTTCTATGTTTCTCATTATTTTTTTCATTATTTATTTATTCAGTTTTTGCTTTTTCTTTCTTCATTGATAGCATCATACTATTAGCTAATTAATGTTATACCTGATAGATTAATTTATTTTTTAATTTTTCAACAACTGTTTCTAATAGTAAAATTAAAGAAGATAGATCAGTGTCTTATGGAGATACGTAATCTCTACTTAACTAACTATAACATTAAATATATTTGATTAAAAAGTATTTTTGATTTAGGATATATTTTCAGCGGGATGTTATTTAACACACGCGAAAACTAAAAAAAATTTTGTAATAAAGATTTTTATTTTGATTTATGAATAATAATTGCAAATTATTGAATTTCTTTTTAAAGTATTTATTCATCGGATAGTTATATTACATTTTTTAATATATCTACTTATGACATAATATTTAGTATCTCTAATTTAAATAATATTATTAATACTGTAATAATTAAGAAAAAAAAAGTATAAAGTTAAAATATAATTTTGAGAATCATTATTCTTGATCATATTTTTAGTCGATGTTGAAGCGTGATTTACAATTTTATATTGAAAACGCCGTGATTTGTTAAATATGTTTTATTTAAATATTACTTATTATTCTTTATATAACAAATAATTTGTTTTAAATATTTTGTGTTAAATACTTCTAATAATAATACTGACGTCATTTATTATGTTGACGTAAATCAATTATTATATTTGAAATAGTATAACAATACATGCATACACACACACACGCACGCACGCACGCACGAACGCACGCACTAACGCACGCACGAACGCACGCACGCACGAACGCACGCACACGCACACGCACACGCACACACACACACACACACATAGCTTTATTAAACCTATCGATATGCTAGAAATATGTGCCGTAGTAATATGGTTAATTTATTCTATTTATTACGGCAATTTATATTTTATTAATATTAATATTAAGTATAATGATATAATTATTTCTACATTTTGTATTTCACAGATGCCGATAAAGCTTTTAAAATTCAATGCGTTGTAGGTTGGTGATTTAAGTTTTCCGAATATTATATTATTTATTTATTAAATATAACAAGCTGCTGAAAATGCTTTAAATATTTTAAAAATCGGTGATTTTATTTCAGTTTTTTGATTAATTGAAAAACTTCTTCATTAATAATCGACAAATATGACAAATTAAACATTATTGTGTCTTGAAAATTAATATGCAAACATTTTATAAATAATATTATTCATATTTAATAATATTATAAAAATAAATTTATAATTCAACTCGAGCTTTAATCAAATAATCAATAAAATAATTTTTTTTGATTTAATGGATTATAAATATCAATGAATTTATTAATTGAATACATGTAATTTTTGGTTTATCATCAAGGCTCAATTTTAATTTCCCCTCGGTTGAGCTAATACTGCAAAAACAAATTATCTCTCTTTCAATCTTTTACATTTATCTGTTAGGTAGTGTACGCATCGTATGTAATCCTGTGCTAATTTTATTAAGGATACACATCACCATCGATACAATTATACATTGTGCGCTTAAGAACAAGCAAATGTATGTAAAAGCAAAGACAAAATCATTCTCAATCCAGACAATTACTACCACACCAGGTTAATCTTATGATTCGAAGATTAAGGTTAACCACTACGATCCTGTACGTTATTACATATAATTTCTTTGAGAGGAGTGAAATGTATTGTGAAACAAACGCATTTTAGTTCTAGGGGAACTTGAGCGTAGTTTGCAAGAGATTAATCATGATAAAGAAAATTTTTTATTTTTACCTGATATAAGTTCATTACTGTAGCGATATATTTAACTGAGATTGTACGATGATTTTATAAATAATAAAATTATAGATATAGTGAATCGCAAATTAAAGAATTAAAAATATCCTTTTGTATAAGTAAAACAAAAAACAAAAAACCAAAAACAAAAAACAAAAAACAAAAAACAAAAAACAAAAAAGAAACAAAAAAAAAATTAAATAAAGTTCACTTTAAATTATAAATTATTCGAAATTTTACATAAATTTTTTACTTATTTTTAATGTGGCACGTAACTTTTATTGCACATAAAAACAACATTGTTGGAAAAAAGTATGCATACATCGACGTTTTAACGTATTCATTATTTTGTTGTCATATATTTCTGTAGTTGATTAATTTTGCAACGCAATTGTAGTTGTATATCGAGCAAAAATTTTATCACATTCAATTGAATATAATTTTAAATTAGAAATTGTTCGTACTATACACGTAATTGGTTTCTTACTTATTTCTTTTGAAGATATTCTGTATGTTGTGATTTATTTCTCAGAGAAAAACATAATAGTATTTATACGTATTGTCTATGCTTTTCCAAGTTACTTGTCAATTTCAATAATAGTAATACTAACAAATAGAAATTCGAATCACATAGTATTACATCAATAAATAATAGCATGCGGTAAGGTCGCAAAATGACTTATAACTCAAATTAATAAAGTTTATTCGAGTTAAAAAATATAATTAATTATTAGAATTTATTTTCTAAGACATCAATTACAAATATTACCTAATGTTCATTTATTAATTTAATCATTCATAATTAAAAAATCATTAATTTAATATTTTATTTTATTGTTACAGATCTCATTCATTGCACGAATGAACCGAACGTGTCGATTCCACAATTAGCAAATTTGTTGATCGAACGATCTCAAAATACAAACTGGACAGTTGTGTTTAAAGCGCTTATTACAGTACATCACATGATGTGTTACGGAAATGAAGTGAGTAATACAATTTGTATATAATTTTATAAAATATCTATTTCGCTATATACACTTGATATTTGCAAAATGTAGTCATTTATAGTGAACACGTGTAAAAACACTTTCATCGTCTTATCACTTGACTATTCAATAAATTATATTTATTATTTTTTGTTTCCTACATAAATGTTATTAATTTATGCAAAACAAAGTATACCGTATTATAATTTTTCTTTTTATATATTTAGTTGTGTAAATTAAACAATATTATTGACAAAGGCTATTATTAGCCATGAATAATATAATTAAAAGAATTAGTATGGTTGGATTTTATATTTTCGTGTGATATATTGTGCTTCACTAAATATTTCATTTAATTTTTATTATTTTGTATCGTGAAGTAAAATAATGGGAGTGTATTTAATTTTCGTTATGCGCCTTAGGTAAGATTTTTAATGGCTACATTCTAATTTTACTATAATAATAAAGAAGAACACGAAGCGATTGGTGTGAATAAATTTTATAATATTAACATCATCGCGTCAATTATAAAGATGACGATAAATGACAATGTTTGCTAATATCTTAATTCGCGAATTTACTTATTTAATACAGTAATGATCATTATTATTTATCTCAAACTAAAAATATGATCGATTTTTACGCTGAAAAAAAAAAAAAATTAAATGGTAAAATATTTGTTTAACAGTACTTAATAAACTTTTGATAATAATTATACATCTTATGTAGCAATGTAATAATGAGATATAATTTTGATAGATCTCAATTTTAATTTAATGATATTCAGCCGTATTCGTGCTATAAAAAATTGTATGTTCGATTCCAAGACATGAAGAATCGATAGATATTTCTATCATTAGACTCATATTTTATCTTATCATCATAAAATCAAATTTAGCATAAAAGCATTAAAAAATATTTCACATAAAATTATATTTATAAGTAATAAATAATTTAAATACAATAATCTATGTAGAAAATGTTGTATTATATGTTTTATTACATTTTTAAGACTTGACTGTAATTGTTTTAGTGAAAATGAAATAATATTTCTGTGATTGTGAGACTGACAAGAAAATTGTAACTAGGTTGGGCAGAAAGTGATTTATATTCGAATATAATTTATGTTTGTATTCTTATCAGTTTCAAAGTTACTCTTTCTTTTTTTCTTCATAAATGTATGACATTTTAATAAGAAATTCGCTATATATTCTCTACTGCCATAGAAAACGATCAATTTAAAGTAAATTGCGCCTTGTTTTATTAAAAATGTTTCTTTCAATCTGTCAATATTAAAATAAAAATTTAAATACATAACGATAGAAAAATATATATTTTAGAAAAATAATGCTAATTCGAAAGATAATGACAAGAGGATAGGGGATTATTTTCTGATCGATCGTATATTTAATGATCGCAGATACCATAGCAAATTTTAATTATTGTAATTATTTTAACACAGAAGCTAAGCGACATTGAACATTCGAGAACAAATTTCATCAACACCTGCTAAGCATTTCAACTTGACATTGGACAAATCGAATTTAGTTTTACGTTGACACACTAAACGATTGTCGCGGTGCTTCTGTATTGACACACTATTTCTGCGTAAATTCCGCAGATATTGCGATTTTCATTGCCAATCACTCAGTCAATATCTACTCTCCTCGGTTATTGAGTTATTATTGTACATGAATAGGTCTGTTTGATTTCGCCATGTGATTCATGACTTGTTTATTTTGAGTTTATCGAAAATAAATTCGGCCGACCCAACTATCATGTAATTAACCATTTTAATTTTTAATTTTTAATTTTTTTTTTTTTTTTTATATATATAAATTGAAGTTTTACAATATCGTATCCTTCGGTAATATAAATTTTACACGTGTTAAATAGAAATAGAAATATTAAAATCGTAGTTTATTTAAGCAATTGAGATCCTCAATGTTGAAAATTAAACGCAAGCCACACACACACACACACACACACATTCAGAATGAAAATATTGAATTTTAAATATTTGTTAATTTTGTCTAAATCATTTAAAGTTTTAAAGAAAAAAATAAATAATTTATTCAATTTTTAATATTTGTTATTACCGAATCAAAGAATTTTATTATGTTTATATTATTACTTTTAATTTAAATTGATTATTATCATTTATTAAAATTATAAACAATGGAAAAACTGTACAAAATATTTTTAGTGTGTTGAAAGAAAAATTAGATTAGTCATTTTCAAAAGTTTAAAAAACAGTATTTATTTAAAATGTTATTTTCATTTATACATAATAAATATTAATTAAAGTATATATATATATTTTTTTTTATAAAACTTGTTTAATATTATGTCATTTATCACCATCGTTAAATGATATTTATTGATGATGTATAATGATAAATTTGAAGTAAACATTTAAGTTTTATAAGAATTATAAATATCTTAAAAATAATCAAGTTAATAGAGAGTTATTTTATATTTATATTTCTATTTGTATTATAGTTAAAAGTAATGAAATATTATTGAAAAAATTTACATTTTAACAAATTCCACAAGTATAATTCATCAATTTTAATTTCTTATTATTTTGTAAGCATTATAAGAAATCTACGTTCTTAGTCTTACACGTGTGTGAAACAATAATTATAAATTTAAACAGAAACGGAATTTGTGTACCAATGTTACGGGAATTCTTTGCAACGATTACGAATATTTAGAAAAAAAAAATCTAACTCGTTAATGTTTAGTAAAGTATAATTACAATCATTAGAATTGTATATGTAATAATAAGAATATTTTAAAAACCAGTTTATTTATGAAAATTGTTTAGTATTATCGAAAAGTATTTTTATTCAAATGCAAATGAAGAGAATGATAATGTTTATTTAAGATTTCATAATTCTTTTAATTAAAGATTTTTCTTATTAATTGTTCTAATTAATCGAAATAAAGTTTTTCTACTCTAAAATTAACTGATCTATTGTTTTTATGTTTTATAGAGGTTTACGCAGTATCTCGCATCCAGCAATAGTACATTTCAACTCAGTAATTTTCTCGATAAAAGTGGTGTGCAAGGTAACTATATATATAAGAATTTCTAATTTCTTCTAAAGATTTTCTTCGACATATTTAAAATTGATTTTATTATGATTTCGTAAGCTTTATCGTTTTCATTTTATTCACATAAAGTTATTTATAAAATTTTCAATGTTATTTATTATTAAAATTTATTTAACCTTACTATATTCAATGCTTATTACAATGAAGCAATTGAAACAATGAAACATTCTAGTGGCAAATTTTATTGATTAATATTAATTTTTTTGTTTATAGTTTAAAAGTGTACCACCGTAAGCATATTAGATAAAAACTTTTGTTAAAGGTGTACGAATGATTAACAATATGTACTTTTGACAATGAAATTAAGTCGCAGATTAAAAATTTACCAATGATTTGATATGTAATTAATTTTTTAGCAATAATTAATTATAGCAGCTATGATAATAATTACTTTTATCATAATACTCTTATACAATAAACTTTTAATTTCCTTTCTTACAATTCTGATGTTTTAAATTTTACTTATAAAAATTTTCAGAAAATTGAATGTATATCTATGATAATTTCTTTCCAATGGATTCTTCAATTAAAAATAAATATTAGAACTTTTTATTAATTAAATATTGTAAGTAGAATTGTAGAATAAGCTTTTATTATTTTGTAATTATTCTATTTCACGTAATGCAGAAAATATAATATTGAATTCTTACCTTTCTTACATGCCTATGAATTATGTTAATAGTTAGAATTATTTGTATAAAATTTAAGCTTACGATCTCATTACTGATATCCTTTACCACATACATATATATATATATATATATATATATATATATATATATATATATGTATGTGTGTGTAAATTGAGAAGGAAGAATATATTTATAATAGCTACGTTGTAATGTGAAAATCACTTTTCTATGTCTGCTCAATTTCTTCACTGTGTTCTCTTTCTATATTTCTCTAACACATTGTCATTCTCTTTATATGCATCTTTCCCACTTTTGCATTTTACTTCCCTTTATGCATTATCTTTATGTAATGATAACATAAATATTTTGTAATAGTAATATATTTATAAATATCTTAACTTGTTTAATTGCAATATTATTTCTTATTCAGACATGAGTACATTTCCATTAGTTCCGAAAATTTAATTTAATATTATTATGAAAATAACATTGTAAATGGCCATATTTTTATGATTTTTATGTAATCATCATTGGCAGATAGTAGAAACGAAAAATGCCTAGGTATTTGATAATTTAGAAATAGAGTATTTTTATTGCATGTAATTTTTTGCCCAAAACTACATATGTTACTGTATTACATACTAAATTAATTGGATAAAAAAAAAAAAATTTATGTAGTAATTAAGGATTCTATATATTCATTTTATTGATAACTTTTATAAGTTTATTCATTAGCGTAGTAATATGACGACAATTGATTAGAAAAAATTATTAACGAAGTATACCCGTGTCTGAATTTATCTTCATTCGTGGCAACTTGACTAACCTGGAATATTTTTCTTTCTGTTCTGTGGGCGCAGCAGGAGCACGCGTGGGTGAGTCCTCCATCACTTTGAGATTTCCTTACACGTTTTAATTCCCTCTTGCTTTAATTACTTTTTTTTTTTTTTTTTTTTTTTTTTTTTTTTTTTTTTTTTTTAATCATCATTCTAATTTGATTTTTATTTGTTCTTTTTGAGTGATTTTAGCTTGTTACTAAATTAAGAAGCTCGAGTCTTATATTTGTTAAACTGTTTATCTAGTGTTTTTCTTTAATATTCTTTCAATATTAATTTACAGTGGAAAATTTGAGTGTATTTTAGTTTGTAAAATTAATTATGTTTTATATAATTATAGTAATTGGAAAATTGAATATTGTTATGAATTTGTAAAAGTGTTATTATTTTTTTTATTTTTTCCATTAAATTAATTATGCTAAATATTTTAGTGGACGTTTTAAAATTTTTTATTGAATTTGATAGTTCTAATGGAACAGTCGCGTACTATAAGTGAGAGAAGCAGCAGAAATTCAATCAACTTTATTAATTGTATCAAAATATATTTACACAATTCATATTTTATCGTTATTTCTTCTCAGAAATAAATTTGTTAACTTTTACAATTTGAGTGTTTCAATAATTTGAATCGTAGATTGTGCTTTACTGGTTATTTATGTAAATTATGATTATGAATTTGAAAATATTTCGAGGTAATTGGTAGTATTTATTAATTGAAATATTATGCATAATTAAAATTGTCAATGTGAGTAATTTCCTTATATAATGAATAAGTTGCATTAACTTTTTTTCTTTCTATCTTTAAGTAAATCGTAAAAGTATTTAATTTTGGCTCGAGTTTCTTAATACTTGTTAATGTATATATTATAGTATTAATTATTTAATGTATTAATAGGATACGACATGTCGCCATTCATCAGGAGGTACGCAAAATACTTAAACGAAAAGGCTCTTTCTTATAGGACTGTTGCTTTTGATTTCTGCAAAGTGAAAAGGGGGTAAGCTGCGGAAAATATTGAAATATGATAATATTTATTGTATCCTCGATATATACATTTTATGAAAAAATATTTCAATTTTAAAAATGAACATAATCGAATAAATCAATTTAATATATTTAATATATGAAGAGAGATTAAAATATTTTTGAATGCCTTTCTTTCTATTATAACAATTTAATATAGTTATTGTAATTTAAGATGATTGCAAAATTTTAATTCAATTGAGTGGAGAAAACAAAAACAAAAACAAAGACAAAAACAAAAAACAAAAAAAAAAAAAAAAGAAACAAGAAAAACATTACCGGCACACTGATGTTTAGTTTAATACACTAGAGTCTAGTCGTGAAAACGACTGTTCTTGTTCCGCTCTCAATTTTTATTAGCGTTATTACTAAACTGCTTATTCTTTGTCCTTGCAGGAAGGATGATGGAACACTACGGACAATGAACGCGGAGAAATTACTGAAGACGCTGCCGGTATTACAAGCACAGCTTGACTCATTGCTCGAATTTGACTGCTCAGCCAATGATCTTACGAACGGAGTCATCAGTATGGCATTTATGCTACTGTTCCGAGATCTCATTCGGTTATTTGCTTGTTATAACGACGGTATCATCAATCTCTTAGGTGAGAGTACTTTCGTAAGAATATTGTAATATGCAATTTTGCTAATGTTTAAGGTGGCTTCGGTCGCTATCGCTGTCCCTTTAATATAATCATTTAAATCCCTTTCAATTATAACACATACTTGGTGTGGTAAATCAAATATCAATAGACAATTCTTTTAGATGAAATTTTGTATGCTTTCATTTTCATTTAGATTGTAGATAAGCCAATATTACGGTAACATTTGAAATATAATTTTGTATAAATAATTATATACATTTTTTAAAAATAATTTTCAATTCTTTTCAAATTTAATTTTAAGAATTTTTATTTATTTATCTTATGTATTACGAGATAAATATTAAAAAAAAAAAAAAAAAAAAAAACAACAAAAAAAAAAAAGTAGATAATGTATTGAATAATGTATTTTTTTTAAATAATATTTTATACTCTAATCAAGTATTAATTCTATAATGAATTTTTATATTATTTTTATTTCAGAAAAATACTTCGATATGAATAAGAAACAATGTAGAGACGCTTTGGACTTGTATAAAAAATTTCTTATAAGAATGGATAGAGTAGGAGAATTTTTAAAAGTTGCAGAGGTACGTTTCTCTTTTTATTATATTTGAATCGAATGGAGAATAGTAAATGTATTATAATAATAATATACATATAGTATTAACTAATAGATTAATTAATAGCGTTTTACTTTATTTTATAGAATGTAGGTATAGACAAAGGTGAGCTTCCAGATCTTACAAAGGTAAGATATATTAATGTAAGATAAAAAATATTTTAATAAAGTACTCAAATAAAATGATTTTTATTTTATTAATATGGAAGAAAATAATTTATTTACGAAATGTTTTAATAACTCGGTAATGTTTGTACTTAAGCTTTTTAAAAGATTCAGAATTTCGTTAATTTTAATATTTATGAATATTTTTTACTAAAAATTATCGGAACTTTTCTTTCTTTTAGTTTTCTTTTTTATTTCATTAATTTCAGATCATTGAAATATAAAATAATTACGTATAATAATATTAATTTATCTCATATTAAATAAGGTGCCAAGATTCTTAATAATTTAACATTAAAATAACGATTGAACTTATCAACTATCTTATTATTTATTATTGTTATTAAAATTTAAAAAAATTACGAACATTTTTGGATACATAATATTGGCATCTGTAATAATAATTAAACCATTTTAATCAATTATAAAGTTTTAATATTGAAGCTGTAAATGCAGATGTAGTATTTCAATCATTAAAAAATGTATGGTGTTTGAGCTATTTATTATAATAATATGATAATAAGAGATCTAAAGTATTATTTAGTATTAAAATTTCAACTGTATAATCGTATACTGCATAATATATTTAAAATAGTTGATTAACATAAATACGAAAGAGAGAGAGAGGGGGGGGGGTAGGGGGGGAGGGTGAGAGAGAATGCTAGGAAAATATCATTTAAAATAAACATTCTATTAGTCACTCGTTCAACATGATTCTTAAAAATTCTGAATAGTTTATTGTAATGTGTATAAAATAAAATTGTTATTTAACATATTAATGTCACTTTAAATTCTTATAGATAATTTTCACAAATGCTTAAATAAAATGTTAATAAATATCTTATAACCCGTGCACTGTTGAGTGAAGCTTGTATTAACTGACTTTTTTCACATACGTTTGTTTTCTTACAACGTAAATTTAGTTCCTTTTCATTTCTAAATTCTTTTACTCTCAAACGACAATTACTTACAAATTGTTATTACGTATAATTAGTTTTTTTTTTTTTTTTTTTTTTATCTGATATTGTAAAAGCTTTTACATTCCTCCACAGTTCGATAAGTATCGTCACATACTAGTCGCATATTAGCCAAATCAAATGAAAAATCATCAATAATCCATCGTTTCAATCTCGAACCCGTAAATGTTGCATTTTCTATTTTACTTTGACTGCGCAGATTTTGTTTAAATGACACAGAATTTATTTTCAAACATTCATCCAACATTGTCCTTACCCAGGCTCCCAGTAGTTTGCTAGACGCATTGGAACAACATCTTGCTTCGTTGGAGGGTAGAAAAGGCTCGGCGGCCAATACACCGACTCAATCGGCAAGGTAAGTCAATGTTTTTTATGATTTTATACTATGCATTCTAATAGAAATTGGGAAACAGTGATAACATAATCATATTTGTATCGGTTTCGCATTTATTAATTAATATATATCAATGCTATTTTATTACCATAAAATGATTTATGAAAAATACAAAGAGCTACGTTCTTTGTTCAATTGCACTAATTTATAATATATATGTCAAGGTGAATGATAAATATTGTTTTGTTGGAGGAATAATATTTGTCTATAATAAATTTTTCTAAAGATTATTTATGCCTGGGATTATAATTGGAATTCTCTTTCTCTTTTGCTGTTAGTATGTCCATTTACTTTTAATTGGATTGAATTTCATTCTGTCATTATTTAATATGCTGATAATATAATATAATTACGTACGAGTAATTGGAATGAAATTCTTACATATAAAAATTAATTTATATGGACATATTTTTAACTATTTCCTTTATCATAATTCCATCCATAAACCTTGCATCGTTCATAAATCATGTGCACCAAAATCTTGAATCATTTAATTAACATTAACCCAAGTTTTTATATTTTATTTTGAATGCACAAAATTAACACACAATGTTCACATACAATTTTCTTTTTATTATGTCTATACCATTTATATTATATGTGTGTATTACGTATAATAGTGAATATTATAATTTCAAGAACTAAAATGAATTACGCTATTTCAAACCATATTAAGGTTGCTAAAACTTTGAAGGATTATTATATTTAGTTGATTATTATATATTAGTTGATTTCATTTTGTTATTCTACAAAACTACACGGATGAAAATGTAATTGTTAATAAATATAAATTGTACATTAGCTGTTTGTTAATTTTTGAAAACAAAGCAGGAAAGGCAGGCAGTCTTTTAAAGAAATATAAAAATTTTTCAATCATTCTAAAAAGTTTTATCTTATCTTTTATATATCACAAATTAATGAAAAATAAAATTCAATGTTTCATTAAATTTTAAATAAAAATTTATATACATAGTATATAACTATTAGATTATTTAAGAAACGTTTCATCTAAATTAATCTATTCTATATTATTTATTGAAGTTGCATACTTTGTTCTTAATGTCGTTAATATAATAAAATTAATGTATTTAAAAAATAATCAACAAAAATACATAAATACACAAAGCTGTATTATTTTTTGTCGATATATTTTTTTCTGTTCCACTAAAATTTATATGCAAATAACATTGGCAAAATTTATTGACTTAATATGATCGAATATTTCCATGAGTTTATGTGAAATTATTTTCACCAAACTTCAACCACGTTTTTATTACCTCGGCAAAATTAAATGAAAAAAAAAAAAAAAAAAACATCTTAAATTCTTAACACTATATTAAGAAAATGAAATCAATGGAAGTATAAATGTTAAATTAATATTTTAATGTTTTTTTAAATTTCAAGGCTTACTCAGTAGCAAAAGTATATAGTCAATTAATTAAGTACATCAATTATATTTTTATAGTAAATTAATTTATTCATTGTTATATTATACATTGCTGTATATACTAATATTCATAAGCTTAAATAAAAATGTAACATTACCCCATCTTTATTGTATATGAACACGAATTTAGTTATGCATGAAAGTTTCATTTTAATTGATAAATCGTCAAATTAAATAAGTTATTTCTTTTTATGACATATAAATTATGCGAAAAGTCTTATATTATTAGGCGCTAATTTACTTGGGAGCCTGGGTGAAAAATCGATGTACTTTTTAGTAAATTTATGGAGCATTGGTGAAAAATGAAATAAATAAATATCTTTGAATTAATTAAACATATTCTAAAACCTTTAATATAATTTTTGAAGTACTGCAAGTAATTCTTCCCCCAGGATATTCACGTAATGTTAATCGTTAAGCATGTGGTAATTCTTTTAGATAAGAAAAAGTATAACACATTACTAACACATATGAAAACAATTATCTTGAGCCACCACTTTATTAACATATAAACTTAATTTCTACGTAAATCTGCATTTATATGTACTACACCGTTTTTTTTTTCTTTTTCTCTTCTCCTTCTTTTTTTTTCTTTTTTTTTCTTTTTTTTTTCTTTTTTTCTTTTTTTTTTTAATCTATTATCAACTCCCACCATCAACGTCTCTTCATCATTTTTTTACTTGAAAAAAAAAAAAAAAAAAAAAAATAAAAAAAAAAAATAATCCCTGCATCAATTTTGTAACACATTACAACCGCTCCCTTCGACTATCATTATCTCTTCCTCACTTTATTCCTCTTTTCTCTCTGTCTCTTGTATCTCTTCGCGCTCTCCGCTTTCCATTCTCTCTTTCTTCACCTATCTATGCCTCCCGTACAACTGACCCCAAAAGCAGCAATCGAACGAATGTAAAGTCGGGAGTGTCCGCCCTATATTCCACCAGCACTGCCTTCGGGACAGCAGCAAGTAATCAACGCCTGGAGAATACCGGCAATGGACACATAGACGAAGCACTTAGGCAGCAGGCCCTCGCCGAGGAGGAAGCCGTCATGAATCAATATAAGGTAACATTGTCATTTCTTTTTCTCCACTTATAAGCGATAAGTCAATTCTCGATTCTTGGTCGCTTTATTCAATTCTGATGGAAAAGCGTGAAATATTCGTGTCGAAAGCCACGAAGATCGAAGTAACCTGTCATCAACTTTCTTACACTCATTAGGATATTTATTTGATATATACTTTAAATACGTATAAATAATTATAAATAATTAAATAATTATATCATAACGTTAGATATTATATTCTCAATGAACTAATCAGCGCTAATTTCATCGTTATGCAATTAATTTCATAATTAACATCGTGGCAATGAATTTTTTTCTTCTCATATTTCGAATTTTTATTTATATCATACTATCGTTTTAATTTGCCTTAGGCTTTTAATAACTTAGAAATGTTTTGATCCGATCTCTGATAATGCTTCTATCGGAAAATTAAAATCTATCCGCTTAAATGTATTTTACTTGTGCCTTTGTTGTAAGAAGAGAAGAGAAGAGAATCGATTGTTTATGGAAAAATTATATTTCGACAGTATCCTTGTGTTATGATTAATGTTACATTTTGAGCAAGTGAAAATAAATAAGAATAATAATAATTATTATTATTAGGCCAAGGTACAATCTCCGACGGGTGGACCTAGCACGAATCCATTTCTCAGTTCTCCGACCAACAATGTCAATCAGCCAATCGTTGATCTTTTCGGCGGAGCATCAACTACAGATAGTCAGGTACATCGAATATAATACTTGACATCTCTTCAATTATAGATTTTTAGATTGAAATTCAAGAAGTTAAAGATTTCACATTATTAGCATCATGACATTTGGATTTTTTTTTTTTTTTTTTTTTTTTTTTTTTTTTAAATAGTTTAGCCGCTTTAATAATTTCGATAATCATATAAAGTCTCAATGTTTCGTTAATATAACTTATTCTATATTCATTGTTAAAAAAAGAAATATCTTCGTTATCTAATTTAATAATGATCTACTGTGAGAAGATAAGGAAGAAAATTTCATATACCGATAGCTGATTAAATCATTTGATTCTATCGAGAGCTATGAAAATGAAAATTATTTTTATTCATGAGATTCGAAGAGAAAATAATAATTATTAATTGCACATACGGATTATGCAGTCTTAATGAATTTATACGAATGAATCGTTACTCTTTTGTCTTGCGTATCAACAGAAAGCATCGGACGATCTGTTGCAACTAGCAGGGAATCCTTTTGCGGACATGTTTGGAGGATCGCAACCTACCGCAGCACCACCGACATCGGTACAGAATAATATGTGGATGACTAATGGTAATGGTAAATAAAGAAATTTTGTAGAATTGTTATTTTATTTAGTTTTATTTTTCAGTTTCGTCACATTTATTCCATCGATCATCATTGTGCACTCTCAGATATTCATATGAGCTGTCGAAAAGTCGAGTCTTTGACAAAAAAAAAATACAGTTTTTATAACATTCATTACTTATGCGGCATTAAAATTTGAAAAATAATGAGGGGGGAGGGGCTGTAGGTAATGGGAAATGCGATTAATGATTAAAGATAAAAATCTATTGTATGCCGTATTTGTAAATGGCCTCTGTCCGTTCTAATAAATGTCTATAATTGCTTCGAATATCGATATCTCATGATGATTTGCACGCAATTATCTTTCTTATTTTCATCATTGTTTCTTTCAGTTTTATCAAGCACTTGTTATTTTTTCGTTTTGTAGGTTTTGCTGTGGCACCATCAGCAACTAATAATTTTGTTACAGATAATAACTTCTCCTCCGTCTTTGGCAATCAAGATCAACAGTCGGGTAAGTATTATGGAGAGTTGGCAATAAAGTTTTGCGGTGTATTTAGTACTTCTGTCTTTCTCTTGTTCTCTTTTACTGTTTACACAATCAATAGCATCGATTTAGTTGTTTCGGTAACCGCTAAGCCTGTATACATTACATTTGAAAACGTGGATTATATATGATATGAAGGGACATTAATGAGAATTTGCAAATAACATCGACAATCACTTGTTCTATCGTTACCTACTATCTTTATCATTGTATTAACAGATATTTTCATGTACATGCGAAACATGAAAACTAAGATGTGCCTCTTTTGACAATTAGAATTTTACAATTATTTTAGCAACGGTGTTACATATTAGTGGTGCGTTAGTTTAGCTCATAGTTTGCCCGTATCCGTCACTTCCATGTACATAATTCCAAAGCGGCTGATTTATTTATTTTTAATTTTAACGTCAAGGAATTTTTCACTTAAAATTATCTTTCGCTGCAGATTTACATTAAAATAAAATTTGATAATAATTATCACTCGCTATTGCCTGTCTCGCTAGCATTTATACTAAGGTCAACATAAATGTAACATTAATTTTATTAGAATTATTTAAATGCTCAATAATCAAATGGTAAATAATAAAAAGAGTAAGCTTATATCTGTAAGGCTTAAAAGAAATTATAAGTGAAAAGTTGCACGTGGTGGTGGTGGTGGTGGGGGGATATGGACATACAGCATCGTGCAAACATTGTCTTGACGAAACATAACACGCAGCAACAAAAATCAAATCATCAAACATTGTATTATTTATTAACAAGATCGCTTGCGAGTGTGCTATACAGCCGCTCTCTATTTCATTTTCTCTTTCTCTTCCCAACAATATGTATATCACCACGATGAACAATACCGTGCTAATGATAGTCCAAATACATGTTTACCAATCATTAACATAAACACGAACAAAGCAGAGCCTCCTCTCTCTCTCTCTCTCTCTCTCTCTCTCTCTGTCTCTCTCTTACACACACACACACACACACGCGAGCGCACACACACACACACACACACACACACACACACATTAATCGACTAATCATACAATGCACCTTGGTCACTTTCTGCGCAAGCTGCTGTCCCAGGAGCCGACATACCGAATCCCTTTGCTCCTGAATTCCCATCCTCGGGCTCCCAAGCGACGGACGGCCAATTGCAACAGGGTGCGGGAGACCTGTTCAGTGCTACGAGCGGTCAGACTGGCGACATATTTGGGCCCGACGGGGTAGTGGTACATGCTTCTGGGGAGTCTGGTGTCGGGGAACCCGGCGACCAGCACCTGAGCAAGTCCACTGCCGCGCCGCCACCCAGACCGCCACCCCCGGGTGCTCAGGGGACGCCACGCTCCGGTTCGCCCGCTCAGGCCGGCAAGAGCGCTTTCGACGATCTCAACGACAGCATCAGAATGGCACTGGGTGGGTCTCCTTCGCGCCCTGCTCCCATCACCCAGCAGGCCCAGCTTCAACAGCAGCAGCAGCAGCAACAACAACAACAGCAGCAGCAGCAGCAGCAGCAGCAACAGCAACAGCAACAACAGTCTCAACAATCGCAACAGCAGTACCAGCAGATACAAATGCAACAGGGTTTCGCGGTATTTGACATGGGGCAACAGCCGATGGCGCCCCAAGGTGGACCTATTCTTGGCTATGGCGTCGCTCCCTCCCAAGCCCAACTTCCCATGGGATACGGATCCCCGGCTAAGCAGCCGATGTCAGGTGATGGGACTAACCACCAATGAGAACGGAGTCACGCTTATTACATTTTTACGATTGTCCAACCTGTTACTTTGTTTTTTTTTTTTTTGTTTTTTTTTTTCCCCATAGTTTCAATTTTTTGTTCATACGACCTTACTTGGTTTAATATTTTTTTGTACTTACTTTACGCATTTTATGGTTGCCTACTGTTACGCGGATCGAAATTTCATTTTTGCCAACTAGCCTTTTAGAGTGCTGCTATTTTACAAAAATTTACAACAATTTACAATATTTTCGATGGCCTTTTCAATTATCGATAAAGAAGCTTTTAAATACTTAAGAAATTCTTATTTAATCGATCGTAAATTTGAGCAATATATACGCATGTATCTTGATTGTGCGCGCGCGCGCGCGCGCGCGCGTGTGTGTGTGTGTGTAAAGACAAATCAAAAAGATTAATAGATGAGGAATATACGGTTTTATTACAATCTAAGAATATTGTGGACGAGACTATGTAGAAATATATAATTGAACGAAAATTTTAGGAAATCGATTGGAGACTTTTATTATTACAGTTGCGGATTTATATTACTCCTTTTCCATGAGCTTAAGCATCCAAAATACCTAATACTCGCATCGTAATTTTTATAATTTCTCTCATTTCAGTTTCATGTGTACTAAATTTGATGAGCCATCTAATATTTAAAATATTTATATCCGTATAATTAAATTCACATATTTATTGTTGTAAATAGTTTTATTTATTTGATCGAGAGCGTTATTGAAATAATCACTTTGAGATCAATTATTGTAATTTAAATAAGAAACCAAGTAAATAATTATGAAGCGAAAAGAAAAAGATTTCTTAATACAGTACATTAAATTAAATTAAATATTTAGATTTTAGGCTTGGATCTATTTTTTAGAAATATACTGGAACGCAACGTTTTGAATTTTATGCACATTTCATGGTTTAAACAAAATTAAAGGATAATGATTTCTATGAGTCAGAGACAATAATTGGAATATTGACAGAATATTAATTATTTATATATATATATGGTCATTGGAAATATACATACAATTATTGTATATGAGATATTTTATTAAAATAAAAATATTTTAACAAATATATATCGTATAAAGTATTGCATAGCTATGTATTAATATTCCGAAATAGCATTGGTAAAATAATGTGAAAAAAGTATAACAGAATTATATTACTTTCCTTGCGGATTTATTTTCAAAGTCACGATTGAAGTATAAATGACAATTGAATTACAGAAGGGGAAAAATACTATTCAAAATTGACTTTTTTTTGTATATTGTTCGTTTTTTAGTTAACTATACGTTTATTATAATGATTATTAAATGATGGATTTTTTTTTTTCAAGATTTTTTCAAGATAAAGGATTTCATTGAATTATAGTGTGTTTATTTAATTATTACACATATTTTATGAGCTTAATGTTGTGAAAATGTTAAGTTGAAAATTTTCTCGAATTACATTTAAAATTTGGAATATATTTAATGCAGCCAATGCTATCGATATTATGAATAGTGACATTTATATAACAAAAACTTATAATCTATCATAGAAATTTGATGTTTTATAATAAAAAAAAAAAAAAAAAAAAAAAAAAAAAAAAAAAAAGTTTTTGGTAGGAAAATATAAAACTATAAAAATAGTATTGAATGCTATTAATTTTTATTTTTTTTACTTATCTTTTTTTTCCCCTTTTTTTTTTTTTTTTTTTTTTTTTTTTTTTTTTTTTTTTTGTAAATCATATGTAAATATAAATTAGATGTATTTAATAATAGATTATACTCTAGTTGGCAAAATAAATTGACAAAGGCAAAACATTGGCTTACCTTTAATATTGTCGCATGTGTCGTTACGACAAGGTGATATTACAATTAATATTGTATGATCACATTTGATAGTTTCAAGATACAATTAGGTTACTTAAAGTGTTACTTTAAGTTTTACTGGTTGTTAGTGTGTTTATTACGATAGTACATGTAAACTTGTTATAAAAAATTGTTTGCGTTAATTGAATAATAAAATAAAAATTCACTTTTCTTCTTTTCTTGCTAATTTTGTGTGATACAATGTGGAAATTTAGATTTGATATATAATATCATAGGCAATAGTTTTATTTATATTATCGCATCACAGTCACATTTAATATTTTAATTATTTTTGTTTTGTGATTTTCAATCTCTCAATCATTATCAATAATTTATATTATAACTAAAACTTTACAATACATGCGTGTAAATGCGTAAATTAAAATTATTAATTATTATTATTCCGAATGATCAATCTTTACCTCATGGACTCTGTCTTAATACATAGTTTAATTGATGTTTGTTTAATCTGATTGTGAGCTGTTTATGTTTTAAATTTATCTTAACCACGAATTAACTAGAGATAAGCCAATTAATTTAATAACCATAGGATTTATGATGACGGTATATGAGTTATTATTTCTTATCAATTGTTATTATTATTTGTTTATTAGTTCTATTGTACAAGCCAGGCAAAGAATATTAGGCTATCCTGAACGTGCGCCTAAAAGTATCTCTTTTCGTTGGTACAATAAAAGCGAAAGAGCAGCCTTGCACTAGTGGTGACTATTCCAAAAAGAAAAAAAAAAACATACTACCTTCTATCCTTTCAATTAGCACACATAACTGTTTTTAAAGGAAGTATTTTTAATTTATGATGGCAAGATTTAGTTATCAAATTGTCGAATAAATTTTACAAATTGCTCTTTCATATGTAATTAAGAATATCGTGGATTATTTTAATAAATGGTACGTTTGATTTTTAACAAGTAAAGAATTGTTAGAAATGCATTTTTTTTTTTTTTTTTTTTTTTTTTTTTTTTTTTTTTTTTATATATATATATATAATTGATTTTTTTCATCTGTTTCTTCAGTAAGCAATTTCATATATTGCTTTTGCCTTCTTATTGTCTACTCTACTGATATTTCAACATTCATAGATGCAATTTTTCAGACTAAAGCTAATTTAGTTATGAAATGAACTTTATACTTTAATGAATGGTTAAACAAAACTTTGATCCACTATAACAATGAATAAATATTGCTTCGTTTATCCACGCTCGAACATTGTATGTTGATTAAATTTACAAAAAATTTGTGTTGTCATGTAAATAAAAAATCTTTTTTTAAAATATTTACTATTCGATATTTTGATGACGAAACTTCTGGCTTTACAAAGATTATAATAATAAAAGTAATATTTCACTGCCATTAACATGATAATGATGATTTTAATATGAAATTTACATCTACTTTATTCTTTAGATTTCATTTTTTTTATATTTGCTCTTTGTTTAGCCGGAAATTTCGCTATTTAAATATTGATAATGCTCATATAAGCCTGGGAATCTTATAAACTAATAATAGTATGAACTCTATGGTGGGATATTATTTATTGGACACAATTTAGTAGTTAGTACCCATCTAAGTCATAGCACTAGTTTTAAATAACAAACGCTTTTTGCATATATTGTTGTGCTTTTTGTTGCATGTTACACATAAAGAATTTATTTTAATTTATCATTGTAGAAATCGTGCTTATTACGCATTCTAATGTTTTCCCGTTTATACATAAGTTTCACATAAGAAAATGAAATTTAAGGTTATCTTTTTGTTTTTTTTTTGTTTTTTTTTGTTTTTGTTTTGTTTTGTTTTTGTTTTGTTCATTCATTACGTCGTACTTGTTAATAATCGTAATTTACATAAATATAAATACATTTTTATAATTAATATCGATAAAATGTCACACATGTACCTTCACTGTAAGCATTTTACAACAAAATTGACAAGCCAATCGATACAAGAGCAACTCTCGCCTCTCCTCATTAAACACAACGTTTGCTTCATTCAGCTGCTTACTTACTGTTGGCCGAGCTTCAGTGTATCTTTTATATTTGTTACTTCTACATTTCATCTTTTCGCGGTTTTGATGGTTTGGCCGCTATCCTTAAACCCAATAGCCTTGTCTCTGTAGCTAATAATAATATTTCAGCATCCGGACAACCGGCAAACCCGACGACCGGGACCCCAGCCACTGGGAAGGTCCTTACTGGTGATCTCGATAGCAGCCTTGCCAGTTTAGCTCAAAACCTCAGCATTAATAAAAGCGCCCAGCAGCAAGTCAAGTTAGTAGAGGGATTTTTTTTCTCTCTTTGCGTTTTCTATTTTCTATGAGGAATAATCGGCCGGATCGGACGAATTCAATGGATTTTTTTTTTTTTTTTTTTTTTTTTTTC